GTTGCGGTCCTTGCTCGCGGAATGTCGCCTGGAATGAGCAAAAGTGTCCCCTGAGCTCAGAAGCCTAATTTCTCCGAGACCAGCAGGCTGGCAACGTGGACACCCAGACGCCTGGTTGCTTCGCAGGTTGCTTGGTAGGCAAGCTGAATAGCTGGCGTCTTCTCTTTTAAGGTGTGTTGACAGTTCATAATTGATCGCCGACCACAAGGCGCGCTAGTGGCGCTCTCAAAGTTTCTCATGTCGAGTCCGGTTGGCTTTTGCTGACCAATTAGAACTAGTGGCACGACAACTCGAGTTCGTGCCGGGCTTTGGCATATAGCCAAGTCGAGTCTTCGTTTCTCCGATCGCCAGTTCGACCACCCTCTCCGAGAGACTTTCACCTCCGGTCGAACGGTAACGACCCGTGCCAGACAGATGAACTTTGGAGCGACTTCGAGGACAACATACCTCCTCCGGTGCCTACTCGGAAAACGAGGTGACTCTTGCGGCCGGCTTGCCAACTTGGCGACAGATTGACTGACCTCCTGGCTCGCTTTCAAAACAGCTCGTGTATATGTGGACCAGACGAGCGTATGCTGCATATAACGGGCGGGGGGGGGGGTCTAGGGGGAAAGGAGTGGGTGAGGTCTGCACGGCTGGAATTAAATTTTCATTTCATAATCGATTTTTTCCCCCAGTCGAGCTTGCTTTATGCTTCTCAGGGGGCTAAAATTTGCTTCTCATCTGATTGAGACCCAGAGGGGATTTTTCCAAGAATCGCAGTCCCCGAGGACACGTACGGCATGCATGCATGCATGCACCCTCCTCGCGGACGATCCGAGGAAAGGGTTTCGCAGGCTGCATTCAGATGTTACCGGCGTTGTATACCCGACCACTTCCTCGGTCTGGCCGCATTGAAATCTCCATTCCATAATACGAAACAGGCTTCTCGGAATGACCGCGAAGAGGATTGTATCTCGATGCTAGCGGCTTGTGAGCTACTCGCAGACCATGAGCTAGGTACGAGCCGCGTGAATGTTGATCGTTGTCATAATCGTCTGCGGCGGCCTCAGCAAGATAACTTCGGAGATCATCCAAGCTTCGCCATGCGGCGCGCTGTCGAGAAAGGCGGAAACGAGACCGGAACCTCCGGTCAGACCGGCGACGGGAGGAATGCCTTTCCTCGCGGACCTGGCAGAGTTGTTCACGTTAATTCTAGCGCACCACAAGCACCGTCGGGCTCGCATTCGTTCCCATGCTTGGACACCCTCCGGTCTTTCCGAAGCGATCCTGCAAGCCCACCTTCCACCTTTCCCCTCCGAAATTAAGGGTTCTCCGGAAGCCGCGATCGCCTCTTTCCCAGACCTCCGGCTGACTTATCGAGACCTCAGAGCTTCAGAGATATTCTCCTTCTCAAAACCTTCGATCAAATCATCGGAATTCTAATTCCCGTCCACGCAGTCTCGGGTGTCTGTCTGCTCAATTCTTTTTCTTATAAGACGCTGACGGAAGCTGCCGTCTCCGACTTCCGGTTCGCTCGCTCGAAGGCACACCTCCACATCCGCGGTCTATGCATGAGCCGATTTGAACCCTGCGATGTCGCCAGCCTAATTTCCTCAGCAAGCAAAGCCGTCCAGGCCGGGGCGAACACCTAGTTCTCTGTTATGGGCTGCTGCATAACAGCCGGCAAAACACTTCTCCATGCTCGGTATAGCAGTTGACTTCATCCTCGGATGGCGGTGACTCCTATACCGAGAAATCATTAGCGGAACGATTGTCGCGAAGTCGCAGCAGCGCAAACTTGGCGAAAGCGATAAAGCGGGTCAAGAGGTGCAGGAATTCTCGTGAAAGTGTTGACTTTCTCGAGCCTCATGATGATGGTGAAGTTTGTTGCACGAAAGTCGAGCATACGAAGCGCGGGAAAAAAACGATGCGGCAAGAGGGCGGACTTCACCGGTACGAGATCCGAATGCGATCCCTTGGTGCCTTTCTAGCTTCCGTCACCCGGGAACCTGTCTCGGTCAATCATTGTTGCGGTAGCATGATTCCTGAATGGAGAATTGACGCCCTCAATTCAAAACGTCTCCCATTGGTCCTGGGGAATCTCAGTAAACTCGAGACGAAGCTCTCTCGCTGCTTACACCTCCCGGATCTGGACTCGGACTCGAATCGGCGCGGAATATTGCGCCGAATACGACTACATGGAAGCAAGCCGTCGGTTTCGACATCTGCAGACATCTTCGGTCTGGTGTGTGGTGTGTAGTCACTCACCACATGCGGCATTTGCATTCGACACGAGACGAATGAGATCCTTCTCCTCATCCCGGGAACTGCGCTTACTGTCATTCGTTAACTTCGATCTCGAGGAGAACCGAAGTGACAAGAGTTGAGACCATGAATGTGACAGCTCTGAATCTCGACAACTCAAGAAACGATAATCTGGCGTTGCCGGAGCAAAAAGTCGAGGACCGAGCGGACGAGACAAATGAAGTCTCGAAACTCAAATAAAATGAAAAAAAGTGTTAGACTGTCACCGGCATTGCGCAGTGGTCGACACAGAAGTGACGGCCCATCACCAGTGGACATTGGCTGACTGACTGGTCGAGCGAGCGGCCGGCCGGCCCGGCGCTCAGACCGTGCGTCTGTCCGTCGCTCAGTTAGACGGCCTTAGCCTCGTCTCGTTGAAGGGCAAAGAAGGCTGTGACAGATCATTAAAAAGTTTCAAAAGTTGAGAAATATCCCCCGGCATGCCCCCTCGAAGCCGACCCTTCTCTTCGCTGCGGGCGAACTCCGTCTTGCTACTCCCCTGTCTGTCCGTCGCTGCCCCGCTTGGTTTGTTCCTTCAGCTCTGACTGACTGACTGTCTGTCCCTCGGTCCGTTCGTCTCTCTATCTGCCTGCCGGTGTCTCTCTATCTGTCGTTGTCGTCGTCGTCCATCTGACCCCTGTCGTCTGTCGATCTCGGCTCCCCCCTCCTTCTCCTCCTCTGAAGAACAGGAGCAGGATAGTGAGCGTCCGTCCGCACGCTCAACTTTTCTCCCATGCTCACTCACTCACTTCACAATCCGCAAGTACCTGTCAGCGGAACACCGTCAGCCAAGCCCCTCGGCCACAGGCAACAGAGTTCCATGTGGCCTCGGGCTGCCTTTGGAGCAGCTTTATTCCGAACGCCCGCCACCCGTACATCGCGGCAATCTTCGAGAGAAGAGGGGGAACTTGTTCTTGTGGTATAATCTAATGTATCGAAATGATCGAACTGTTTGGGTTTACTTTTCGTGAAGTGCTTGTATCGGGCTTACTTAGCGGACGAGAGCTCGGATCCCGAGAACTGTCGAATCGTATCCGAGACCGGAGCGCCCCGGCTCAGTTCGGGGGGTGTGAGAGCGTGCCCGCCAGGACTTTTCTCCCAAAGATATTGCGGATGAATTATTAGTATGATGAACACTGATTTGAGCGCCGCAAATGAAGAGCATTGGGGTCTCAGCGGGCTTATTTGCCGCGAATGGAGCGAGCTTCGCGGAAGTATCTGGTGAAGCTCGAGGACTTCCGCACCGGAACCGAGGCTCCGGAAATGTGACGGAGAGGCTCCCTGAATGCAGGAATGTGAGGTGACATCTCAGAATAAACCAAATTCTGTTCTGTAATCAAGTTTTGTTCACATTTCTCATGTCGAGGAAGACGTCAGCTGAAGGGAACGGGAGCTCGACAGTCTAATTGGGAGCGGCTGGTGAATTGTAGTCCGGATCCACAGAGCGGGTGTGTATTTATAAATCTGCAGCGGTATGTCTGCATGCATCTGTGTGTATGTGTAAGAGAAGGCGTCGTCTTGAGCCATCAATTGCAGAGACTTGAGCAGCGCCAATTCAAGTCCCGCAGCTGATTGGAAGCCCAACGACTGCAGAGTAGACGAGCTGAGCGTTGCCGGAACGAGGAGCTATAGCATTGTAGGCATCTTCCACGAAGCCCGTTCCTTCTAAATTTGGCAGATGAACTGATTGGAAGGGCCGTGCTGCCTGGGACACCTCATTAGAGTACAGATTCACCGCACTCACTGAGAATACTCACGGGGCATAGTCCCACAGCAAGAGCCTTCACAAATGTGCAAAGCGTTCAGTCCTGCTGCGAAGCTGCTGAATCGCACCATCGGCAAATGGCTACGTTAGCTACAGAACAATTCAAATCTGGAAGGAATCGAGTGGTGAGTGGGTCTACTCGAAGAGAGAATGTTCACAATGAACGAGTTCGGAGCCGTATTTCGAGACCAGGAAGTCGCCGCCGCTCTTAGGAATTCTATGGAGCCTCGAATCCGTTGAGCTCGGAGCATCTTCAAGCGCTGGAGCTCGCATCCTCTGATCAACCCTCTGCTCTAGATGGGACGCTCACTCCACTCGGACGGAACCTTTTCCTCAGCTTCAATATCTCGAATGTAGGAGACAGAAATTTTATGAGTCGGGACCGAGACCTTCAGTGGACTAGAGTTCTCCCGGTATGCGTCGGGGAATCCCCCAATGGAACTTGCCCAAGTCATTTCCCCTAGAATGGGTGGGGAGCCGCTCTGCAGCTCGTTGAGGGGAAATCATTCTCACACGCGATTCGATTAAGGCGATATCTTTATTTCATCTAAATACAATTGATCCCCGATCACAGTAAAAAACACGCTGAGGAATTAGAGTAAATCGAGCAAGTATCCTCATATTATGTTCTTCAATTGATTTTTCTCCGCATTTATTATATGGATCATACTGCTCTACAGAACCAAAACCATAGACTTCAACAACTGAATATCGTCGACCAATGGGGAATAAACAAATATCCATGAACATTACACATTAACGAACGCAAAAATGGAAGTCCCTCTCCGGAAGGATTTGTTGACTTCAAAGTATTTTTGTGTTGTCTCTCTCAAAGATCCAGGATCATCTATTCGTAACGTCGTTGTAGCAGTCCTGTTATCATTGAAACGCTCCTTTAATCTTACTAAATACATCAGTCTTACCAAACGTACCATCGGGTTATGGATTGATACAGAGGATTGATTGATTGAGTGAGTGTCTGCTTCAATGCGATCTGGTCCAATGTAGTCCTGGTATAATTTATTTTCGCTTGACTTCACTGAGCCACGTATCTATTCTCTGTTTGAGTTCGACGTTCGGAGTAACCATCTCAAGAGTCAGAGGTTGCCTATTGAAGGGATCGGTGGGGTCACTTAGTAAATGCCTGGCGATTGTGTTGCGATCGACTGTGATATTCGACGTGGGCAGGATCACCGGGTCGGTCATCAAGGTGTAGAGCAACGGGTCGTTGAATTCTTCTGGAGCGTCTTGAACGAGTTCTTCTTGTCTGGCCAGAGCTGTCTCGGCTTCTGTGAGCTGACGGTTGAACTCTTCAATCCCGACTGAGAGGCCTCCTCGACGGATTTTGCTCAGGACAGCCTGGAGCTCAGTGAAGAGCTCTGGCTTGTAAGATCTCTGATCGCGGACGATGGCCTGGAAAAACTTATTTCGACCCTCTTGACCCTCGGCCAGATTGAGGTAGATTGTCGCGATGCTAACGACTAGTGTTGCCGGATCGAAGTCATAGGCTGACAGGTCCGAGACTCTCAGACTCTTCTGTTCGGGCCCGACCAGATGCACCAAGAAGAAGTTGAGCATCGTCGCGATTGGATCGATTAGGATCGGTTGCAGGAAAAGAGCTCGGATGACCGGTGACGTGGTCAACCACGTCACTGTGTGGATCGTGTCGCGCGACATAACGTTGTGGAATCGGGCGAGCATACCCTGGTGACGGAAGTTCGCTGCAAATAGAACCTGAGTGAGTACGAGGCTCTCTTGGCGTTTCCGATTGATCCGCAATGTATAGAGTCGTCCTCGCAGAAGATTGCCGATAATTCCCTAATCGACTCACCCTCATGTTGGATTCTCTGATCTGTGGGTTGATTGCGCCAATTGGGGCGTTCCTTCTCGAGGGTCTTCAATTTTTGCATCTGCTGGAAACTTTCGTATAGCAGGTAGTTGGCGTCATTAATTAGGAGGTTGGCGAACCTGGAAGCAGGAGGTAGGATTCGAAATTCGGCTCTCAGTTCTCTGAATGATTCCGACGAGCACTCCGGTCAAACAATGTAGCCTGAGAAGGCACAACAGGGATCGAGGGGTCTTACCTGAGGAATAGCGGTTGCACGGGATCTGATATACCCCTGATGGCGATTTCCGAGAGTTCTTCCATATGTTTCCGATGCTTGTCTAACTTCCACAATTGCTCCAACACAAGGTACATCGGTCGTCTATACTGGAATTTTTCTTCGAAGGACACTGCCTGCGGATTCGTTTCGATGCTCACAAAAACATTGATGAGGGTCTCCGCCAGAGCGTCGGACACGGGCTGCTCGAGCAGGCATCGCACTTCTGAATTCGATATTGATGAATTCTGTCCATTCTGATCGGATGTTATCAGAAGAGCTTCGAGCGTTTCTGCCAATTTAGCTCTCAGATGAGGATTCTTCACTCGCTCAGCGGATCCCATGAAGACTGTGATTAGTCGCAGCATCGGGGAGAGATGCACAGTATATAGCATGAGGTTCCTCTCGGAAAATCTGTGGTGGACAATGTACTCTGTTTGAGTCGAAATACTCTCCATTGGATCGCGCGCAGCGTGAATCATGTTTTCCTGCTTCCAATCCGACATCTATGGTGTCGACCATTGATATTGAAGAGCCTCTGCTGCGCGAATCACCTTTTGGTCATCACCAGGGTATCAGATATGTTCTCGAGAATGTACTCTGGTGTGAGGGTGAGTCGATCAATCGGTGCGAGGGCGTGAAGATCAGGTCTCTCGGCAACTTCTCCAAGCCAATGCGCAGATGCCACAGTGAAATTCACTAGCATGTTATAGAACTCCGGTTCGAACACAACTGTGCGCATGCATTGGTATCTGGCGAAGATCGGAATGGTTCGTGTTAGAGTCGAGTGTAGCCCAAGGGGGGAAGGATCAGGGTCCGCAATAGCCTCATGAAAGATACCCCCTGTCTGGATTCGAATTTGATTATTTCTCTATGGTACCCACTTGCTCATGAGAGCGTTGAGCTGTTTTCCCAGGGCTTCGAGGGCTTGTTGTCCCTGGGAGCCCAGAGCTTGTGTTTTCGAGTCGTCGTACAAGGATCTCAAGCGACTGATCTCCTTGTTGAGTTCCAAGAGTCTATCGTGGATGACTCGCGTACCGATCAGTATGGCCTTATGTACTGCGAAGAAACACGCCGTAGGGAACAGGAATGTGGATTTCTCTATGCTGTAGGATTCCTTTCGAGGGAGTAGAGTTGTGTCCTCTTGCAGGTCCCTCAGCCGGACTTTATCGCCGTCATAGGCCCACAACGGATAGGTGAAGTCAACCTTCAGAACTTTGTTCACGTCTGTAGCTGTGCAAAAGGGTTGAGCCAGTCTTAGGAGCACGCTCAGCAGATTTATGGCGAAGCCATGGGAAACTTGAGCTATGTTCGTTCCGAGCTTTGATCGACCACTGCACATCTGGAGTAGAGTAAAGAGAGTCGAGCGATTAGTTGATTCCTGCTGACACAAGCATCGTGAAGCTGGGCATTAGACGGAGCTTCAGGCGGGCGTCTCACACTCGAAACGTCCAAGACCTTGTTGCATGCATTCAGTGCTCGGCTAAAATCGAATACAATAGAGCCCAATCGTCTCGGATTTCCTCAACCATCGAAGAAGGGTCTTGAGACGAAATACCTGTAGGGCATAACCGATCCATTCAACCACCAATGTTCGTATCGTGGGCGATGTCCTCAGAAGCTGATTGGTCATGTCGAACAGAACGCTCTGAATCTGTTTCATGGGGCTCCACATGTTCTTCTCTTGAATAGCAACGTCCTGCATCGTCATGTTCGTCATGCTGAAATTAAACAACACAAGATTGAATAAAAAGTTAATATCGTTGGAGTCCCTCCAGACTAACTTGAAGGGGAAAAACTTAGTCAGAGGGACGAAACTATTGTTATACAAAAAAGCATGGAGGGATGAGCTCGGATAAACGCAGAAGACTGCGAACTTACTTCTCGAAGAAACCCCAGCCTTGAGCGTGGTCGCTCCCGAGGAATGAACAGCCAAATACTGCTCCAAAGAGCGATTGGTTCAATTCGGCGACAGCCAACATCTCCTCCATCATGTTCATACGATTTGCGGCAGGGGCTTTTACTGGTTGACTTCGCAGCAAGGCCAGTGCGAGTGGCTCGTTCTGCATGAAAATCCTCACACGATCCAATAATAAATGGATTCTGGTAGAGATCACATTCTGCTCTTTGATTTCCTTCGCCAAAGCGGTCAATGAAGGTGTGATGATCGCCTGCAACACGGGATATCGGGACTCAGTCAGTCTCCGAGAGAAGGGTGGAACATCTCAATCGCCGGGCATTACTCGGGGCTCACATTAAGACACCCGGGTTCCTAAACAGGGATTGCGAAAACTCACCTCAAGAGTTACTTCTTCACCCCCATTTTTGTATCTCTCGTCGATGACCAGAGACAGATCTCGTATGAAATCCCCTATTCTCACACATCGTTCGTCCATGACCAGAATTTTGAGCTGTTCGGAGTGAGGCGGATTCGTGGGTCCGGGATATATCGCCTCATTCATCAGACAGGTCGCCGCTTGTTCAATGAGGATGTGACGAATTTTGTTACACAGTTCTCCCGGAAGATTGGCTCTGAAGGATCTGTTCCGGAAGATAGCGGTGCTCATTTATATACTCGGCTTGGAACACTGCTCACGACGGATTCGGTCGCCCAGATCCGTCGAAATTTTTCCTCGATGTGAGATACAGCCCGAGCGGTCTCTCAACGAATTTATTTTCTCCCCTCCGCTCTAGCCATCCAAATCCTCTATGAATACCTCTCGCTCAGTTCACCTTTGATAACAACCGTAGATGTACATCACACGCCGGGTGTCTTTCTTGTCCCTGGCAAGAGTTTCCGGATCCATCATCAGTCTTTCGAAAACAGCCTCGTTCATCCGGTCGACGACGAGCCGAGCATTCGATTCGGCCATTCCTAGAAACGAAGCCGTTGATTGAGTTGACCCCCACCGATAAAACAGGCAGGACTGCGACGCTCGTGGAGCTCGATCCTTAGTTCTGAGAGAGCACTGTTTTCCAAGTTTCAAAGGTCGACTACGAAGCTCGCAGAGATCCCCGAGGGGTCATGTTCTACGTGGGGGACATCGAGGAACGATGGCGATTGGGGATCCCCGATCGTCGACCCAAAGCTCGCGATACGATACATGCGCCGACTTCCCGCATCCGAAAGACCAGTCGAAACTACGCGCAGTATGGCGTGATGGATAGCACTGAGCTGAGTCGACACAGGTGGTGACAGGCAGGGTAGCATAACAAGAGGGGAAACAAGTGTCAAGAAAGTTTTACCCTCCATGAATCGAGCGAATGCCCGCAAGTTCTAGCCAAGAGCTTACCTTGCAGGAAGACGCATCTGCATTTGTTCTGGTCCACACTGACGCGCAGGATGTCCTCCAGTTGGATTTCTTCGTCCCCGCAGCGTTCGGCAGCGACGTCGACACCGTTCTGCATTTCCTCTTCGGTGTTGCTGCTCTGTTTTCCAGGCATGAGCGACTCGAAGGGATTCGTGGCCATTTCATGGACCGGTGTTCTTGCTTTGTCCGAGAGCTACTCTCACCACGAATGGAGCACCGTGATGGATTTGAGCGATTTCGATGAATGTCCGAGATCAAAATGTTAAGTCATGAACAGACAACAACAACACAGCATCAGCTGGGAACACAGACAGACAGACCAGCGCTGCTGCTTCCGCCTCTCGCCACTAGACCTGCAGAGGCTCGGCTTTCGCGACTCGGGTATTGTACCTCGTGATTTTTTATGATTGACATATATTCAGGACTTTGCACGATTGCTTGCCCGCTCGCTTGATGGGGGACTCCCACGAGACACTTGTCAAGGAATGTCAAAATTAATATATCGTATATCGGCAGAGTGAAGACCATGATGTCGATGATCTCTGCTGAACATGGGACGAGCCCGACCGAATGCTCCTCTTGGACTCGCCAACTCTCCGATTTGGTTGAGAGAGCCCGTTCCAAAGTTCATGTCGTTCATGGTCGATGCACACCCATCTTTGCAGTCAATCGATTTTGGAACGCGGTCAAGCGATTTCGAAGATCGTATTATCATGTAGGATCGAGCTGGTTCAGGACAGAAGATTCGGGACCGTGGCTTATCGCGGCTCCTGCGAGGCACAAGGGCAGGAGGGAGAGCGCGGAGGAAGGGGGGCCCAGGAGCTCGTGAGCCTTCGTGTGAGATACCTCACGGCTGAGTGTGTTATGACCTGACGCAAACTCCTCAGAAGAAATCGGGCGCTACAATACGATTCTGCACCGGCTCCCGGGGAGGATGCTCGCTACGGACGTCACACTCGGATAAGCCGTATCTGACTCCATCCTTCTCCCTCACCCAGCGTGGCACAATCACGTCGATTGAGCGTTCAATACGTTGAGCGCGTCGGCTTCAAACTCTGCATTTTATGCATAGTACTTCTTATAGTGTCACACCGTTTTCCGACGGGGCTATTCTCAGCTGTCCGCACACAGGAGTCCGAGTGTACTATGGATAAGCCCTAGATACGCTGTAAAGGAAAAACAAAACGCCATAGAGCTTCCACAGATAATGGGTCCTTAATTTCAAGAAACGAAATCTCGGGGCGGAGGTCTCCCAATGGAGAAGTCACTCTGAATTGAGCTCGCTGCCTCGGTATAGCGCTCACGCTCACGCGGATGCTCGATTTGTCTGGATCAAGCATGATTCTTTCGTCTTCCAAGCGGGGACTGCCATCGAGTACGAGGAATGAGATTCACAAGAAAACGGGAGAGCGCCCGATCGTACTCGAGCTTCCAGCAAGGAGCACAGTCATCACTGACACCACTTTCTCGGGGAGTCAGAGATTTCGACCTGCTGATGAGGTTTCCTAATCTATCGCCTCAGCCTCCGTTCCCTCTTTTCGTCAAAATACGAACGATTGAACGGTATCTCAACCATGACGCCCAACGGAAAATCCGCTACCATACGTCGATTAATCCCAGCATAAGACGGCGCCGCGCCGTACACACATCCAGATTCCAGCTGCTCTTCCCGCCAAGATGTGAACTGACACATCCAACACCTAAGAGAGAGGGCGCAGGCGGCGGCGAATTTTTACACCAGACACGCGAAAAACCCACACAGACCCAGCGATCGGCTGCAACGAATTTCCGAAAAGTGATGGCGCGACCGCGACAGAGAAGAGACTCCGATTTCAGCAAACAACCATCGAGATTTATTCCGGAAGACGACAGTCTACTAGACGGTCTGCCGCAAGCTCTACCAAAAACAAGAAAAACTAACTTTTATCTGCACACAATATATGGACATATATTCTATCGTTACCGTATCCTTTCACACATCCAGGAGCTTCCCAGTTGAGTCAATCAATCTCACTTTCGGAACGGTCCCTGTAGTTTCGACAGGGATAATGTACACGTCCTTCGAGAGCCACTCTTTCAAGAGCATCTCAACGGTGTGCGGCGATATTTTCTTCTCCGTCAGATCCATGACCTCGACCGTGAGTCCCTGGAGGAATAATTCGCATCGTTACTTCCTCCAATCAAAATGATGATAATTTAGAGTTTCGCCCGTCTCCAGGGCTACTCGCGTCAAATGTAAATGGGACACCCAATGGGAAATTCGCTTCGGCTTACCTGGGGCGGTACTTGGTAGACTTCCATCGAGTTCTCGAGCTCGTGGATTGAATCAATAGTCACGGCATCTTCGTAATCGATATCCGCGAAGTGCATCATATATGTCTGATTATCGTCGAAGGCATATTGTGCGACAGCCCTTGATGTGTTTCTTTCGTCTCCGCAATCGTACGTCACCGCGTACCACTGACCGATCTCGCACTGGGAAAGAAACAAATACATTGAGAGAAGCGGCCGACGCGGGGTATGTTGTCAGAGAATCGAAATATCGTAATGAATCATAATGATAATAATAATAGAACTTCAGCGCGATCACGGATAATACTCACAGCTTCCACTGGTTCCGGGTTGTAGTTGTAGTCCAGAGCTTTGAATGCTTCGTACCCAGGGCCGTGTAGATTCAGAGTGACGTATCCATCGAACTTGATGTTCACGATCACCGCGCTTTGTAAGCGAGATTGCAGGGATCCTCCGATCCTCGGGGACTCTAGATGATTTCCCTGGTGCGACTCGAGGGCATCCTGTTCTGTCAGGGTTTCAACATCGATCTCGCTCGAGCACGGCTCTTTCTTGAACTCATAACTGTCTGATCCTACCGTCGAAGAACTGGGATACGCTTCGTCGGTGTAGAAGACGTTGGACGGCGCGGTAGGATCTTGGAAAGTCGCTGTCGCATATTGTTCACCAAAGTATAAATCACCAGCGGCTGCTTGATCGCTTGTGGTATCGTCGGGTTCGGAGCTCTCTGGAGCTGTTTGATATCCGTACTTAATATCTGAAGGATATAGCTCCGCGGGCATGCCCCCATAATGGCTCGTAACAGCGCAGATCTCCCCTATATGTGGTTGTTCGTCGTAGTACGCCGCGATCGAGTGAACGTCTTGCAGCGTGACGTCAGCCATCGCATCGGCCAGGGTTCGCTGCTCAGCGCCGTAGAGCTGTGGACTATGACTAGCCTCATCGTAGCTTTCCGTGAGACTCGCTGTCGGGAAAGTTTCAGCGTAGAGCTCAGCCCCCTGCTCGACTCCTTGCGGAAGAGTTTCGCCCTGCTCGTAAAGAGAAGGCTGGTAAGCATCGTCTTGAACGGCATACGATCCTTCTTGAAGCGTTGGGTCGGCTGACGTTTCACTCGATTCTTCCTGGTAATAATTTTCGGTGTATTGGTTCCCGGCTGCCTCGTAGCCTGCTCGATCAACTTCACCGTGAACTCCTGCTTCGAAAGTGCCCCCGTTAACGAGGGTTTCTTGGGCGGCTTCGGGATCGGTGTTGTAGTAGACGTCGACTCCAGGATCCGTTTGCTGTACGCCTTGCTCTTCGTTCTCGTAGATGGCGGCTCCAGCTTGGTCCTCTTGAACCTCCGAGCCGTAAAGTATCTCGGCTCCCGGATCGTAGTAAGCCTCATGAGCGCCCTGATCTGCCTCGTCGGTCGAGTGTTCTGCGGTTTCATAGAGCGCGGCACCTTCTGGAGTGAGCACGCCATCTGTTTGGTCGTAATAAGATTGGAGATCCGGAGGAGCACCTCGTCCTCGAACGGCGTCACTGGATCGGATGAGGCTGGTTTGAGCGCAGAATTGATCTCGATCCAACCATGATGAGTTGAACGCGTCTCCGACGGCACTGGTGAGGAGGGTTCCTCGCGGAGCCCCGTAATCGACCTGACCCTCGACATCTGGCGCTGCGTATTCACCGCCTTCTTCGGCGTATAGCTGCCCTCTAGTCGCGAAGTTCAGTGGATGGATCCCTGCACCGATCTGAGTTGGATCTTCCGAAACATAGCCGGTCTCGGAGGAAGAGGGAGCTGCAGGGGCCTCGCCGTAGAGCTCTGCCTCGCTTACGGTTTCGGCATTGAAATCAGCTGCGTAGATGTCTTGACTCTCGTAAGCTAGACCGAGTTCCTCTGCTTGGACTGGAAAATGAATCAAGGGAAGTCGAGGTTAGGAGGAAATTCATTCAGTTCAGTGGAATACATTCATGACTTGGAATGAGGCCACTCCAAATAGATAACTCTTGAGCCATGTGTTACATCTCCCTTCCGGCGCCGTTGGCGGCCGGGCGCCGATTCTCACCTTGGTAGATGTCGGTGGACGCCTCATCTTCTGTATGCTCAGGATTTGACTCCGGCGCGGGCTCTGACGAATACTCTGCAGTTTGCTCCGACGAATACTCTGCCGTTTGCTCCGGCGAATACTCTGCCGTTTGCTCCGGTGGATAGTCTGCCGTTTGCTCCGGTGGATACCCTTGCGAGTTCTCTAACGCGTATTCTTGAGCCGGTGCGAACCCGTTCTGTTCTGGCTCATACTGTGCCTCGTATCCCGATGGATACTCTTGCGCGTACTCTGGTGGGCCCTCTTGCGCGTACTCTGGTGGGCACTCCTGCGCGTACTCTGGTGGGCACTCTGGCGCGTATCCGAAAGGGCACTCACCGGCGTACATAGGCGCGAGCCCGTCCGTACTTCCGTCCGAGGCCGAGATTGGCATTTCTAGCATCTCGGAGGTCGCGCTTCCTTCTATGTACAGCTCTTGCGAATCCGGCTTGACTTTGGATAGGAAATAAGCTCATTAGTTTCAGAACAGGTCAAGTCGGAAGTCATATAGCGAATCGTTGGCCTCGAGCGAGTCTAAATATTCCAGCGCATCCACAACATAAATCAATCGTGGTTCTCCCGAACCCTTGGATTACTCACACTTTGGAGCGTCGAGGCTCAGTTCGTGGATAGCTCGTGTCACCACGTCGAACTTTGACCCATTCTTGCTGGTGTACAATACGGGATAACTGGAAATTTTGATTTCGCCGATCTGCAGCAGGCTTATGAAGTGCCGGTCCTTTTGCGCCAAATTGTTGCAAGCTCCGATAATTTGAAACTCTGGTTCTGGGACGTTGTTGGCCCGGCACAGAGCGAACAATTCGTCTTCTACGACCTTCAAAGCTTCGTCACTGACATCGTTGGCCTGGAAATGATGAGGGTTAGTTTGAGGTTGGGCATCAATCTCGATTCTCGTCATCCACGAGGGAAGGACAAACTTCCGCTGACTGAGATATGTTTCCTACTACGAAGGAAGAGATCTCCTGATGTCGTATACAGGATAAAAGAATTCCGTCCCAACTTCCAGCATGAGCTCATCATCCTCCCAGTATAAATTACTTGAGCTTCCCGAACCTGAAGGGACAACCTCGCAATGGGCTCGACACACCACCCGAGCCAGTGAATCACGCGACGAATAATCCCAAGTAGATCAGAAGCAAACGTTGTACGCCAGCACGATGTGATCTACACGTGGAACAAGCACGATGTGGCGATCATATTCAGAAACATCGCGCGAGGCGACCGGAACTTTATGGCCGACGATCACCGCGCAAAAACCGCTACATGCGCCGAATTCAAATTCGAAACCAGTGCGTGATAGACGAATGTTTTCAGGAAAACGCCGAGAATATTAGTGGGGAGCTTCGGAGACTCATCAGGCAGAGACTCGATCCGTTGAGCGCGACCCATTAACGGAGCTCAACGGATATATTCTCGACACACCGGAAACTCACCCCGGTGACATCCACGCTCAAAAAACTTTGTTCACGGGGCCTGCTTGTCTGCGCCCTTTTTTCTGAAATCCGATTCATTTCTGAGCGTGGAATCGCCAGATTCCGATAGATTTCAGAAACCAGCTCAGAAATTGGAGCACGTCATGCGGCCAGTCAAACACGAGAACTCTGTACCTCTCTCCAAGAAAGAATGTTTTTGTGGCATGTCGAGTGACTGTTGTCGAAAGGTGTCGTGTTCGCGCGGTACGCGGCTTCCAAACGAAAGAGGGAGAGAGCTCTTATGAAATCTAACTTCACACAGAAGCGAAATTTGCCAAGTTTCCGACCGACGAAATCAGTCGAGATTCAATGACGCATCGCATGGTGCTCGCGTTCTCAAGGGGAATCGGCGTGGGAAAAACTGCTCTAAATCTTTTCCCGGGAATCGTGGGTCCTAATTCACACCTGAGTGAGACTTCTCGCGAGGCGTCGAGCTCTGTGCATATCGCCTTAGAATAGGAGCTAAATGACGCGAACTGCTGGCGTAGGTGAAGTCGATGATGTTTTCCGAGAGTCATATCAGGAGGACGAGCCGAGTCATTTCGCGCAAGAGTTCTCCGTCCTCAATCGATGTTGCACCGGATTGATTGAGAGAGTCCGAATTCTTTCGCGCACCGGCTTGATCCCGGTAATCTTGACCTCGTGATTTCGGGGAACCCAGATATCGGAGCTGAGTTTGTCAGAGCCCAGAATCTCCGTGGGAGCAATTTCTCCTCGAAAAGCCACGACGGTCGACTTCGTCCCCCATCGGAGCCCTCCATGGAATGAAGCTGCGATGACCACGAAGCGGGCCCATCGGACACTGCAGCGGGGTCTCCAGACGGATGAGGTTCGCCCTTAGTTCGCTCAAGATTTCGACTTGACTTCGACGCGAGGATTCCGCGGATATATCGCCGCAGGCGATTCGAGAGATATCGACCAAAGGCAAAACGATCTTCTGAGAGAAACGGCCGCGAATGTGCAAGAGTAGTCACTCCTATCGTTCTCTGCTTGGATAGTCTATTCCTGTATTGGTACGCTTCGACGCACTCGAAAGCGCCTTCGCTTAGAAACTTACCACGACGATCGCCGCAGGATAGACGTGTGCCTTTCTGCACACTCCGGCGACTATTGATGCGTATCTTCGGTTCATCTTCGGGCTGATGTTAACGAACGGTCGCTCGGCAGAAACTCTTCAGGGTTATTTGTCGGGATATCTCTCGGGATTCGCGACAAACAGCGATTGACTTCACAGGGCACGAAGAACTTGTGAATGACTTCATCCTCTAGATGTGTTGCCCTCTTATCGAGAACCAGACCCCTGTAAAGCTCTCTCCTTTCGACACTAGACTCCAGAGAGAGTCGGTGATTCAGATCTCCTAATTGGTTCGGGACCCCGGACCCCACAGAAAGCTATCGCTGAGCCGGTTCCGAAGTGCATGAGATCGTGAGATAGTCGCACCCACCCCATTTCGAAATCGGAATTCGGAAATATTCAAGAAATGATTTTATGAGCTTAGAGTGAGACATACTTAGCCCACCCGGTTGTCGAACCCCGCGTTGATTCGTCCCAATAGCACATTCTCTGGACGATACTGCTTCGCGCTACCGCGTCGAGATGATTTCGCGAAACTTTCATTGCCGAAACGTCTCATGTCCTCGGATGTGAACGACGAAGCATGTCCTCAAAAAATGAACCCCTCCTCAAACCGTCAATGCAGATCCCTAAGCACGTAGCCGTGACCATTACTGAGCGTTTACCGGCAAAGGGATGTCAGGCCAAGACCGCGGTCCAGTTCTCCGCGCAGCCACCCCCAGTCATACCTGATCTCGATTCGGGTAAAAAAATGGTCGTGACCACGAAAGGTAGTAGGATCCAGATTCCTACGCTCTCGTGCGAGACGAAGTCTTTCGACTTGAGCTACCAGGAGCCCTTCAAAATTCGACTGCCCCAAATAGTTACTAATGGACCGAGCCTAATCACTGCCAGTCTACACGTCATGGTAGAGCCTCTGTCGGCCGACTCCTCATCAAAGAGTGGTCTTCCACAAATACGGATCCTTGAAGGAAAGAATCATGTTCCGCCCGATCCACAGTCTCCCCACCGAGAGTTTCTCTATGCAGAATCGCCGATGATTTTGAACACCGCCCCCAACCAACCGGGATATAATTTCAAAAACACTACTGTCCCTGAGAGGTGGTATTCCAGAACGTCTCCGCTTCTCGCCAAGGGTTTCCCCTCCTGCTGTTGCGTCTTCTGTCGGAGAGAAAGCATAAACTCCAAGTATCTCTACAGCCTGTACGGTAGGCTGAATGTCGTACTGATCGTTTGTTTGAGTCTCCTGACGTTCTACGGAATACCCGCCATCGGTTTCGCCTACAGCGACAAGCTAGTTGCTCATACCGCTTGGTCCCAAATGACATCACACTCCTTTCTATTCTTGTACAAAATGTTCAGCGTCTCCGAAGCCGCAGGTGAGATTCGGCATCAGCTCATTGTTAGTCGAGCACTACTATCTTACCTGGTGTTTCTTATCGAGCTTTGAATCAGTGAACTTTGATTTGCAGCCCTACCGCGGATCTTCGGGGTACTCCACATGGCCGGGACGTTCTTCATTATGCTGGTTTCGGCGATTATGTTTTTCGGCGTGCATGGTTTGCCAGCCAACTCGTGGCACATGTCACTCTTGTCTCTAGGAATTGCTGCAATTGCATTCGCGATGCTGAGCAACTCGTAGGTCATGTTCAGCATCTCTTCATTCTTTGAAAATAGTAAATTAAGGGAAAGCCCGAACGCAGCATCGCTAGCGATGAAATCATTCTTGGGAGCTGCTCCCGGTCGCTACTCCACATATCGCCCCGAAGGGGATCGGAACGGCGCTGTGGTAGGATTCCGTGATTCTCAAGCTCCGGATTGGGGGCTTCCGCCTCAGGGTCTGGCGGGATATTTGTGAATCTGGGGAACTGGGCCTGCATCGCATCGGGAATTCATAATAACACTCACACTAAAAGCTTTATTTGTAAAGACGTGAGGGATGAGAATTATGTACTGATTGACGAGATAACGGCCAACGGAATCATGAACATAGGCTAACGATGAAAAGACGGTCTGATGGCGACTCCGGAATTCTGTGATACTCTGTTAGAACGGCTCCGATGTGAAGGATCCTAAACGTACGGTGATGCCCCAGGAGCTCATCGCCAGCTGCGGTGGGCCTGCTCGAAATGTTCGCAGGTTTTGGGTACTTGGTATCGGGGAATGGGGGATCATCCGTAGAAACGATTCTGCTTTCCGGTATCACACCGGTTCCGAGCGGAAATGTCTCGCCAGACTCTCCTCCGATGGAGTGGCGCTAAGGGAGATATCCGATAGAGATCCGATGAAGGAGATTGTTCGTCATTTTTTCCGCATTCAGGTTCTCTGAGCCAGTCTTTCCCAATCTGAGCGCCGTTAGCCTCCTATCGGTCTGCCGGAAATTTTTTATTGCTCCCGGACTGAACTTTATTTTTGTGTTCCCATGCATCCTCTGTACCCCATCCGTTGGAAATCCAAGGTTTTGCTGCGTTAGAGGAACACGCATTGGAGAATAACTCAGGGAACGATGCTGCGGGGCTCTCCCGAACCCTTGTGGACCCTCCCGTTGAGCTCGATTTGCTTCGCGGATCAGAACTAAAACGAAATTGAGTGCGATCGGCTCGCGGACCACCGGAATTCTCCTCGCGGTCCAGTTATGGTCCGAGAGTGAAAGGAATTTCTCGTCGAGGTTGGAGAGCGCTTCAGTCAGACAGCCCAGTCGAAGTCGCGGGCACCCGCGATCCCTTCGAGAAGCGGTATTGCATCGTCGTGACCCGCCCTGAGCAACCCCTGGTCTCTTAACGCCAGAAGAACTCCGCTAAGAGTTGTAAACGATATATCATGGCGTCGATGTCTTCAGCTCTAGCGACAAGCAATGAAGCATCTCGAATACAGAGAATGGCATCCGAGAGTTTACACGATGTACTCTTCGCGCAGTTGAGCATATGATTTGGGAGTTTACCGACATAGTGATCCTCTGTGTATCCGCACAAGTCTTTTGGAGCTTCCTGAGACCGGCTTTTCCGGACCAACGAGCCTCGCTGCGAGATTCTGTTGAGGGCGTGCGCGATGCCAGTGGCGCACAACTCTGCTAACATCAAGAATCAAATGTGCTCGCTCCTCGCTACGCCATTCAAAAGCTGGTGGAAACAGTCTACACATTATTACGAACGCGAATGAGTACAGACACTCACACGGGCTTTTCCTCACGCTCGATCGCATATGTAGAGTCGTGATGGAACTTAGTCCTTCAGTAGATGACGTGACTGATCAATGCGCTTCCCTTCCATCATGTTCGAGCGGCAGACTCGCATTCGACGCTAGAGAAACGTTGGAGGACTCTGGCCGACCTGATACCGACAAGGTCGAGAATAGATGATATGGGCCCGCGAAGCTCTCCTACCCAAGTAGCACCAGTTCTCCACTCGGCGACTCCGGGTTAAAAGCGACCGACTCGGATGTCCGCGCCCGGATCTCACCTATCGTCAATCTCCGACGACGCTAACGATCCCTCACCGACCAGTAGCGAAAACTGAGTCAGTCAACTGACAGTCTGAGTATGAGTATGAGTATGAGTACTCAGGGGATTCGGAATGAGCGGTCGTGCTCGGAGCTGATGAGAGCCGGGACACCGTTCGGAGCTATCAATCCGAAATCCTGACCCGCGACCGTCGGGGCGGCCCTCGTATGCTTCCGTGCGTCGGAATCAGGGAGGGAAGTTTCTCCGAGGTACTCTTTGCCGCGGTCATCACGGCGATCGGAATCATAGCGCTGATTGTCGGAAATCGGTAGATCCTCTGAAGCGTGTGTAGGGGCTCAGCTGTAGCGGCAATCGTGAGGCCCTCAGGACCGGTATTGGTTTTGGTATGGTATTTATTCCTCCTCATTTAGTTCCAGATGACTTTCTCTTCAGTGGCGAGTAATCTCCGCGGATACTGATAGTTTCTTCCTCCCACCGCTGGAGGAGTCTCTTGGTGTCGCGTATCATCCTCGTGGAGGGGTCACTGTCGAGTTCCTGTCGTTTCAGTATCTCCTCTTCCTCGAAGAATGCTTCGTGG